AAGTAAAACTAGCCACTTTGCTGCTTTTTTTTTTTACACATTATTTTTTTTTCTTCAGATTTTAAAATTTTCATTTCCATCATTTATGACATCATCCATCAGGACAATACATAATACATTTTCTTAAAGACATATGGGAAAAGCATGAGTTTACAGAGGTCTGGTATGTTACAAATGCAGTCTATAACAGTTATAGAACATTAGTCAAAAAGACATGAATTGCAATATGTAACATATTCCTCCTCACCTTGCAGTATTTGCACTTTAGCGGCCCTGCGTCTGTATCACTGACTCCTGCGACATGTTAATGGACACCGGCCACTGCGGATCCATGCCAATTTATAGCCCCATGTCCGCCCACGTTATGGGGTCACAGGCCAATTTTCGACCAATCAGATTTGTAAAGGGCTTATTTAAACGATATTCTACTTTTTCTCATTGCCCTGTCGTGGTTTCCCTTAGTGGTTGTCCGAGAGTGTGTTCCTGAGCGTTTATTTCTAGTTATTGACTTTGGCTTTGTTTGACTTCCCTGTATTCTGGTATCCCTGACTTTTGGCTTTCCCTTATTGTTGTGTCTCATTCTGTGTCCCTGACCTCGGCAAGTATCCTGACTATTCTTTGGTACGTTAAGTCCGGCCATTCGAAGGCCAGGTAAGCTGTTACCTTTTAGTTCTAGGTGTGATACAATTCTACGTGCTGGATCAATTAGTAATCCTGACAAAATAGTCATAGAATAATGTATTAATGCATACAGGTACGTTACTACAATTACTTGGGTTTGATATCCTGTGTTCGCATACAGAATGATGCTTAAATTTGTATTTGATTTTTTATTATATAAAAATGAAAAAATGTTGAAACTTTACCAATTTCATAAAGATTAGACTTATGTATTGCTCGTTTGTTTCTTACTTAGCAAATAAAAATGTAAACATTTGATCCACTCAGAGCCGGATTAGCCATTACCTTAGGTGACCACCTAAGAACAAGTTGGTTAATGGTTGCCTGGCCAAGTGGTTTGGCCAAAGTCGCATGAGAAGTATCTTTTTTTTTCTGATCCAGTATCTGGACATGGGAAGGGTGATTTCAGATAGAGGGTTTTGTAGGTATAATCAGTGATCTATTGTGTCATGTCACATATTGCATATTACTAAGCAAAAGATAGCATCATACAATAAAGTGCATGTATTTGACAATACATGCACAAACATCTTGCTCATACATTTTATTTTGGGTGGTAGCGGGGGGATGACAATATAGTTTGTAGACCCGTTAGAACATCTAAGAATTGATCTAGATTCTGAGAGACTGGATGTTCAACATTAAGGCTAAAGAGAATGAGGTGTTAAAAAGACTGAGGTGTTAGAGAATTAGGGGACAGAAAGACATGATGATTATAGATTATAGCTTAGATGAGTGAGTTTGGACATGGGGGTTATATAGAGAGGAGCTTGAGGTAAACTGTAGGGCACAGAAAGACTGGAAATTAAAGTTAGATTAAAGTCTAGAAATATATCAATGTTTCCGTTAACCTTATCGATTATATGAATGGATGATTGGAGAAACTTGAGAAGGCTTAATGAGAAAGGATAGGGGAGACAGACACCAGCCACTGCTTGAATCAGCTTGTCTGCAGTTTCAATAATTGGAAATACTTCCAGTGGTAAACTACGTATTCCATGATTGCTGATGGACAGGTGTTTATGGGAAATGATCAGCATTTAAGCCACCAGTATTGGCTTAAATGCTTACTTTCTGCTTTGAGCAGACCTTGCTGAAGAAGTTGCATGAAAAAAATTGTTTTTTTCTCCTACCTGCCAGTGAGTTCTTCAGCAGACACTCCATGCAGAGGAATTAATTGATTATCGAGAGCAAAATAGACCTCCTTAATCCACAGAAAGCTCTGTCTGCTCTATGTTTGCTATGGAAACCCCCTAGCCATTACTGCTAGCTAGCTAGAGAGTATAAGAACGAAGTAACATTATGCCAGTCCGTTCAGATGCTGACATTCTGAAAATGAAGACAGAGTGTTGGCATCACTGAAAAGGTTTTTCCTGCTTGGAAAATCACCACAAAGCAGGGCAAACCAGTAATCAGAAGAGGAGGAGTGAGGGTGGACCTCTGTGATTGAGGCAGGGAGCAGAGGAGGAGTGGTAGTGGACAGGGCCGGACTGGGAAAAAAATTAGGCCCGGGCATTTTTCAATCAGAGCGGCCCCCTAAGAAGGGGGCGGGGCCAGAGAGTGTGTGTTTTGTCATCACTAATGACAACACGCCCCCTCTCAAAGTGAGCATGTTGGTTCAATGCCCAGAGCCCTGCTGAAGAGCTCTGGCATTAGAAAAAGGCCCTGAATTTGTTCTGCGCAGCGCAAGCAAATTTAATAACATGCTTGCGCTGTGTTTGCTTTTAAATTGTCTCTGGTGTCTCCACAAGTGGGATACCAGAGGACAAAAGGGCCAGGAAAGTGCATGGTGCATATGTTTGGAGCCTGCTTGTGGGATTGCGTGTGTGTAGAGTGTGGTGTGGTATTGTATAAATAGGTCAATTTAATTTGTGTTTGTGGTGTAATATGTGTGGCTAGGGGCTGTAGAGAGTGTGTGTATAGGGGGCATAGTTTTATAGGGGATGCAGCGAGTGTGTGCATACGGGCTGAAGTGTGTATGTATAGGTGACGTAGTGTGTGTAGGGGTTGCAGAGAGGGTGTGTTTAGAGAATGTTGTATGTGTTTGCTGACAAGGAATAGTGTGTGTGTGTAGGAGATTTACTGTGTAAAGGACCCAGTGTGTGTGTGTGTGTGTGTGTAGAGGATTAAGAGTGCATATAGGGTAAGGGATCTAGTGTGTATCTGGAGCGTAATGTGTGTAGTGGTGCAGTGTGACGGGTGCTGTAGTGTGTGTGTGTGTGTGTGTGTGTATGTATATATATATATTTGGACTTATTGTATGTGTGAGGGGCGCAGTGTGTGTATGTAAGAGGGGTGCTGTGTGTGAGGGTGTTTTTATCTGCTGTCACATTCTAGGTTTCTAATTTTCTTTGTCTGTTAACTCACTGAGGGTTATTTTATATATATATGTGTGTGCTGTATATGTGTGGGAGTGTGCTGTGTGTGTGGGTGCGATGTGTGAGGGTGCTGCAGTGTGTGTCTGTGGGCGCTGTGTGTGTCTGGGGGGTGCTGTGTCTGGGGGCTGTGTCTGGGGGTGCTGTGTGTGTCTGGAGGTGCTGTGTCTGGGGGCTGTGTCTGGGGGTGCTGTGTGTGTCTGGGGGTACTGTGTGTGTCTGGGTGCAGTGTGTGTCTGGGTGCGCTGTGTGTACCTGGGTGCGCTGTGTGTGTCTGGGGGGTGCTGTGTCTGGGGGTGCTGTGTGTGTCTGGGGGGTGCTGTGTCTGGGGGCTGTGTGTGTCTGGGGGGTGCTGTGTGTGTGAGTGAATGTATTTTTTATTTAAATTTAAATATATATTTTTTTACTAATAAATAAAAAATAAAAAAATAAAAATTATTTCCCCCCCCCTCCCTTCTTACCTTTATCCTGGGAGGGGGGGGGAGGAGATCCGTTATGCTTGGGGGGGTGGGGAGCCATGCTGCCTTCCCTGGTGGTCCAGTGGTGAGAGAGTGAACTCTAACCTGCAGGTTAGAGTTCACTCTCGCGAGATCTGAGCGTTGCCGCGGCAACGCTCAGAATCCCGCGAGAGGACCCGGCGGAGCTGCTTGTTAGAGCTCCGCCGGGTCCTCTCTCCTGCCTCCCTCCCTCACCCAGCCGGCGGCCGCATCTCCCTGCCTCTGGGCTGGTGAGGGAGATCTTTGATGATCTTCCCACCGGCCCATGGAGGCACTATGCATGGCTGGCGCTCGGATAGCGCTGGCCCTGCAGGGGCCGGCCGGGGAGATCCCCTGCCGGCCTCGGCCCTACGGCCATCGCGGCCCACCGAGCATTTGCCCGGTATGCCCGATGGCCAGTCTGGGCCGGGTTACCAACACTTGTACTGTTAATTAACACAGATTAAGAGAACTGGTACTCTAAGTAGTGATTGTGGG